ACTCCCATTTTTGCTGTTTCACAGCTGGGTGATTTTTACTGAGGCAACAAGCCCTCACAGAATTCCAGAAATGAGCAGTAGGGCAATCAGGGCTCCACATCACCTACCTCAATTACCTCTTTCAGTGATGCCTGCACAATCCTTGGTAACTCATGTCCAGGGCAGAAGCCTGGTTCTCTTCCTCTTACCATAAGTCTTGCTATAAATGCACAGCTCAGAGAAAGCACCAGCCATGAGGAGCTTGGGCTCTTCATTTGACACCAGATACTCCCATAAAGCACAGTGAGGCCACACAACTGCAGGGTGGAAGGCAATGATGGAAAACATTCAGAAGGCTAAGACTGAAATGGTGCTTTTAACTTAACAGCGTGAGATATCTTCTGAAATTTCTGGTACACCATATTGGAGTGGCATCACGTGGAAATCATCCACCTGCAGGGTCTGGAACTGTTTTCTTGAAGACAATGCTTGGTGTAAAAAAGGGAGACATCCAGATGACCTTTAGCTTGTGTTAACAAGGCTTTATTGCTGATAGCAGCAATAGGAATAAGGAGTTTCCAGCAGGAGTTTGGAGTGATGCCTAATTTTCAATCTAGATACTGGAAATCTGTTGAGTTTCAGTAAGAAGGCACTCCAGGGTTTGTTGATCCTGGTCAGAGGAGGCCAAGTGGGCTCACACAGCCAGGCTGGGTGTTGGAGAGGTCTCACAGGACGCGCTCACCCGTTCTGTGATGCTTTGGGTTTGCCAGCTGGGATGTGATGCAATCCCCTTTCAGAAGCACAGGCCACTGAGCAAACCCTCCCACCAGCAGCCTGCAAAGGTTCAGTCCATGTCAGACAGACAGGTTAAATAATTGCACCACCAGCACCATCCCAACGGGAGCCATGGCTGAGCCAGTGCAGTAGCAGGGTGTGAGAGCAAATCACAGGATTTGGCAGCAGGTACCTGTTGTTCTTATTGCATTTAAAATCTAAAATTTCCTTGCCTTGGCGATTTCAATGCCTATTGAAAGGCGAATGAAGCATGTGACTGAATGAGATCATTGAGGGGAAAAAAAGCACATTCATTCTGCTTGCAAAGAGCTGGACTCCAGCAGCAGCTGCCATTAATTAACTGGGGTTATTATTTATATGAGCCAGTTAATAGAGATGTTGTTTAAATCTACTCTTCTTATCCACTCAGGTTTTGAAGAGTTGTGATTAGAACCAGAAATATCAATAGCTGGGGGCTGGTGTTAGCAAAATAATTGTAGTAACTGCAGTAGGCATAGGGAAAATGTTGCTGCAAACTGATTGAACTTGTTTGTTTCCTACAGGGAGATCTGGGCTTACCTGGTTTAACTGGGTTCCCTGGACCACCTGGTAGAAAGGTAAGAGTGCTCTTTTCTAGTGAATCAGATCAGTAATTTTGTTTTAAAATTCTCTTCTATAACTCTGCCTGAAAGATTTAATTCAAAAAGTCCCAGTATTCACCCAAAGAGCTTTATGCCTGTTCAGCAGGTGTATAACCTGGGGAGATGGGCTGAAGCAGCTGCCTGAAGACTATGTTAGAGTATGAAATGAAATTCTGGGCACAGAACTGTTCCTCCTTTGTATTCCTCATCCCTCTGCACCCTGACACTGGGTGTTCCTCAGCAATCTCAGTTTAGGCCTGGTGCAGCCAGTGCATCATCTAAAGGGTTCTCCAACCAACAGCAATACTGAAAGCATAAATTCAGAACAGTGCTGGCATTCCAAGGAAACCACAACTGTCTGTCCTGGTAAAGCACATTTCAAGAACATATCTGTGTGCCTTACCTCTATATTTTGCTTGGAGACTGTCAGCACTGGTCAGGTTTTGCTTTATTTGCTTCCATATTGATGCTTCAACACCATTAACATCACAAACAACACACTCATGCCTAGAAAATGCTATGTAGGGATAAAACACAAGATCCATCCCTGTTTTCCTGAGGCAGCAGGGTGTGTTTCTGTCCATGCATTCAAGCCTGCACAGCAGTACCTCAACCATCCATATCTGGAGCTCAGATCTTTCCTATATCAAGGACATTTCAGTTGAGTTTCCAGCTCCAGGCTCTGTTGGTATGTTGGTTTCTTTTTTTGGAAGCTGGGCCTGTTGCAGGGAGCTGTTTGGGGCTCAGTGGCCATGACTCCCCCTCCCAGCAAGCCAATATTGCCACAGCTAACCTGAACAGTTAAAATTAGCATCTTGTTTCCATCACTTCATCAGTCAATGAGCCATTGACCATACACTGTTGCTCAGGTCAATTAGCTGCACACAAACACCTCCTCTGGTATTTTTAAGGACCCCAAGGAGAGACAGAAGGTGTTGAGGAGGCTGAAAGGAGCCCTCCCTCTCCACCATTATTTGTTGTATGCTTCATACTAGAACCAGATTGCCAAGAGGAGGGGCTGAGTTTATTTTTCTACTCCAAGGCTGGTCATGTTTGGGGTGCTGTGTGGAGTAGGAGCAATTGAGTGATTAATTACAGATCTTTTGCTGTCACAAACAAGTTCTAACTAATAGGGTGCAAAGAATACCATTTTCCTGGCATAACAGCTCATAAAACAAAACCTTGTGGTTACAATCAGCAAAATGCAATGTCAGGAGTGCAAGAACTCATAGTGGAAAAAGCAGAGAAGGAATAGGAGATTGAACAAACATTCCCAAGTCCAGCACATGGCCTTCACATCTGATCTGAACTCCCACAGGACAGGGTAAAGGCAGGGATATGCTTCTGTTTCTTCAAGTAATGAGCAAGTTGGATGTTGAAATTTTTCCTTTGGTGCAGCTTAAAAACACCTCCCAGTAGCACTAGTCTGGCAGTGGGTTTGGTGTAACCTGGCTTTTATTAGCATCTTGCATTAAGAAAAAATTTACAGCTGTTGGAGAAATGTTTGGAAAAATTCTTTTTTTTTTTTCTTTTAATCTGGGTTGCCTGCTGGCATTCTCCCAGTGAAAATACACTGCTGCTTGGCTGAGGGTGGGCAACACATCTTGGCTACTGGAAAACAGCAATGCCTTGGAAATGGACATCCCTCCTCTCACTCCATGGAGGTGCTGCAAAAAGGGCTCTGAGGGCTTTGATCAGAGAACGCCATGTAGAAACCTTCAAATGGGTAAAACATTTCACCAGAAGAAACAAAATGCATTTCCCACTAAATGAAACCACTGTCTCAGCAGCGTGGGCTGGAGCCACAACCAGCAGCGTGTGGTTTTGGACAGTGTGGCTCAATCCTCAGTGCCTGCCTTGGGAATGCTGACAGACTTGGATTGGGCTTGTGGGATTGGACAGGCTGATCTCTGAGCACCCCTGAAGTTGTTTTAGCTCCACACTTCTACGAGCACACGAAACTGCCTTAGGAGCAGCAGATGTGTGTGATGGTGTTCACAGGGGTTCTTGGATGAGGGAAGAGACGAGGATCTGAATCCATGTTTCAGAAGGCTTGATTTAGTATTTTATTATATATATTACATTAAAACTATACTAAAAGAATAGAAGAAAGGATTTCATCAGAAGGCTGGCTAAGAATAGAATAGCAAAGAATGATAACAAAGGTTTGTGGCTCAGCTCTCTGTCCAAGCCAGCTGACTGTGATTGGCCATTAATTAGAAACAACTAACACGGACCAATCACAGATGCACCTGTTGCATTCCACAGCAGCAGATAATCAATGTTTACATTTTTGCTCCTGAGGCTTTTCGGCTTCTCAGGAGGAAAAATCCTAAGGAAAGGATTTTCCATAAAAGATGTCTGTGACAGGTGTGTTTCTCATCCTCTCCTCACAGAGCAAACAGTGATTTTGCAGACCAGAAAGGGTGGCAGGACTTGGATGTCCCCTCTGGTGCCTCTCAGGTATCTGTGGCCTTTGCCTTTTGGTTTGGGGCTGCAGACCACAGCTGCCTTGGAGATAGATCTCAGCAGAGCAGCATCATTGCTCCAGAGGAGAAAACAGCAGTGAGAAAGGCAAAGCTTCACTGGGGTCAGGGAGCAAAACAGAGCTGGGAAATGGTCAGGGCTTCAAAACATCCTGCATGCAGGTCTCATCCCCTGGCCCCTTAATTCTTCACATTTCCTACAAAACTGCAGGATGATCCCTTTAGCTAGGAGAGAGTGGATTATAAATATCATCACAGATGAGTAAATCCTTCACTGGAGTGCAATTTCCTTTCCAAATCACAGCCCTTTGTGTGGAGTGCCCTGTAATCATCACAAAGTGTTTGGATAAAAGAGCAAATGCAGTTGTTTTCGTACCCTCTGCCCTGTCATTTTAGTGCTATTTGAAGAGGATTTTAGCAGGTAAATACTTTCACACAAAGCTCTAACATACACAAGCTTTTTCTGGTTTTCCTTCATTGTAATTCACCTGAGGCAGAAATAACTGGGGTATATTATGAGGAAATACATCTTTGAAACCATCCAGAACCCAGAATATGTAGTGAGGAGGATATTTAATAGAATACAAAAGTAACACATAACAGTGCCTACGTATTTAGGAACATAACATATTTAACCTAATTGCCATTCACTTACCACTACAGAATTGGTGCAGAATTTAGTTCAGGACGTGCTCTGAGCATCCCAAGGGACCATCATGCAACCACCTGCTTTGGGTGGGCATTGCAGGCTCAAAATCCCCATCCTGCAGAAACCCAGCCTGGAGCAGAATGGTTTTCAGAGCAGCCAAGCCAGGCACACATTTCTTATCAGTGGAAAAGTAAGATATTGTTAAGCTTGGTGCTCCAGCTGTCTACAGACAAGGCAGCTCCTGCTGCAGACTGGAAGAACTGGGCAGAGGTCCCAGGAGAAAACCCCATGGAAATCTAAATTTGAGGGAATGGCTGGGGATGCTGAACTGAGGGATGTTTCTGTTGGAAGCTCTCACCTTCAGGCCAGACACCCAAGCAGGGTGGAGCATCCTCCCTCCTCTCTGTGAGCCTCTGTCAGGGAGCCAGGGAGAGGATGAGCAGCAGAGGATTTCATGGGGCAGATTCCTGGAGAGAGGCAGGGAGTCCTGTGGGCTGATCCTGCTCCAAGAACTTCCAGTGAGGAATCTCTGACTGAAATTGTAGAAAGGACCCTCGAGGTGGTTCCACCAAGGGTTTTTCAGGGCAGAAGGTGCAGCTCTGTCCAGAGCCATGGCATTTCAGCAAAGCCAAGCAGGAGAGACCTGGTGAGAAGGGGATCAGCATCACTGCAGGCCAGACTGTCTGGAATAACAAAGCAGGAGGAATGCAGAGGGGAGAGGGCAGTGGCCAGCATGGCTGGGAGCATTGCTCACCCTGCCAGCAAAGGCTCAGGCTGCAGGTCTGGAATGGCCCGTGGGAAGAATAAAAAAGCTGTTAAGCAGAGGTGTGGACCTGGGAGCAGAAACAGTGCTGGGTTTGTGTGGAGAGTGGAGCCAAAGGCCAAGTGCTTGGTCACCCCTGTGACTGGTGATGGCTTCCAGAGCAGGGACACTCCCTGTGGGCTCCACAGACAGATGAGGTGTGCTGAGCCCTGGCAGGACAGGGTGAGTGGCAGGGACTGAGGGACAAGTAGTTGTAACCCACCCTTGAAAGCAATTTGTTATTTCTTTAGTATTTGTTCAAGGATTGTTCCATGTTTATTTTTTCTCTCTCCCATTTGTTTCAAGTTAAATTTTCTGCTCTTTTTTTTTAAATTTAATCTTGCTGCTAGCCCAGCTAAACAGTCATCTCTGTAGCTGAGTTCAACCTCCTGATCTGCTTCCCTTGATGGAAGCTTGTTTTAAACAGCTGAAGAGGGAAAAAATCTGAACTGTCCATCACAAAAAAATTCACTGTGTTTGAAGGGAGCTCTAGGTAAATCTAGGAGAAAGCTAACTCCCCTAAAAGACACACAGTGCTCAGTCTGTAGTCAAACAGGCTGCCCTTGTCCTGCTCCAGCGTCTGCATCCCCCCAAAAATGAAATATTGACAAACTGTAGCAGGATTATGAAAGACCTGTGAGAATGATTTGAAGCCTGAAACACTTGCCAGTAAGCAAGGTGGATTAAGAAACTCATTCTAATTAATTCAGCAGAGAGAGCAGGTTGAGAGGCAGCTTGCTCACCAATTTTAGTAGCTTCATAATGGAGCACTCTGGATCTTGTAATAATTAGATTAGAAAAGCTGGAACCTGGACAAGTTCAAGGTAGAAAAATTGGAGTCTCCTGTGACAGTAAATGGTTGTTTTGGTGTTTCCTGTGGCATTTCAAACTCTAAAGCAAAAGTAAGCTCTGAAACACAAGTGGCTCATGTAACTGTAGTCCCCAATGTGCCCAAAGCCAACATTTCATTCTGTGGTTTCCTGAGGATTAAGGGCAGCCTTGCTCAAGGTGTAGATTACAAATAGATTGAGCATGGAGACCACTCCAAAAGCAATTCCTTCTGGAGTATGTACCAGACCACAGCAGGGCACATCAGCAGGTTCGGGTGGTGCAAACACAAGGCAGCCTGATAAAAGTTTTCAGGATTGTGTAATACTCTCTAAAATCCTGCTTCTCCTCAGAACTTTAGTCCCACCTGCAAAAAGAAATAGAAACCAAACCCAGATTATTGTACTACATTTTTGTTTCTTAGTATTCATCTCTTCCATCCTTTTTTGACAGGGATATAAAGGCTACCCGGGACCACCAGGTCACCCTGGAGACCAGGTGAGTTTTCCCATTTCCCAACAGGGGAGCTTTGAGGAGGGATGGATTTTCTGGCTGTGATGCTGCTTTGGCTCTGGTGCAGCCTGCTCAGTGTGGACAGGCAGCTGCTCTCAGGGCACACACCAGGATCTGGGCACACACACGGACCCAGCATCCATGGCATCGTGGTAGGAGGCTGCGTTGGAGTTTCTACATCTAATTTCTAATTTTTACTGCTCAACCACACTAAGTTTACTTGAGGGAAGAAAAGCCAACTCACCAACCTACCCCTTTATTTGTCTTTTTACATTAATTTCACCTGGACCTTACTAATCACACTGTGCTGAGTATATGTGATTCCCTTCCCAAAGCCCATTCCCCTCCTCCCCTTTTCTTCTCCCCCTCCTCTTTTCTCCCCCCTCTCTATTTGGTTAAGTTTGATGTTTGCAATGCAGTTAAAAAAAAAAAAACCGCCAATGAATAGCAGGCCCTGTTAGCAATGATGTTAAAGGATATTATACATGAATCCATTTAGTTTTGAAGAATTTTGGCAGTGCTTTCCCACCAGCAAAACGGTTCCATATGCCAGATATAGATGCAGCCTTACACCTTCTCTTCGTGTCCTTGTTCCAGATTCTCGGCTGCTTTCCTCCAAATGGAGGGAGGAGAAACAGCAGCACTTGCTCAGTGCATGGATCCTGTAGATTTGGCTTCCCTGTGTTTTCCCCCTCATTAATTAACATCATTATCTACCCTTAATATTGTTTTCCTCTCAATAAACGTGCATCAGATTAATCCACTCCTCCATGATTCAGCTAAAACCCCTTCCCAAGTGGAACATTCACCTGACTTTTTGTGCCTTTTCTTTTTTTTCTCTCCAAAGGGTGAACGAGGACCAGCTGGAAGTCCAGGTGCCAAAGGTTATCCTGGCAGGCAGGTGCAGTAAATCTCATCGTGCTGTGCACAGAGTAGGGATTTGGGTGTGCAGGTAGATAAAGATATGCCCCACTAAGGACAGTGCAGTCCTCTAGGAAATGTTGGTATATTTGAATATTTGATCTCTGAATATTTTCCTTCTTCCCTCCTCAAGGTGTTGTAGCAATAACACAGTCTTTCAACTCTGAAATGTTGTTAGAAAGTATTTTGTGGCTGTGATAGATAAAACCTGAGTTTCTACACCAAATTATGGCAGCTTTTTCTTCAGTAAAACTACAGGGAAAAAACAGAACAGCAGAGCACAGAAAGACATGTGCAAGCTGCTAACCCTTCTTTTCTAGGCATATTTTGCATCTATTGTTGGACAAGTTAGAAATCTAAGATGGAAAAAGGTGTATTTAATTCAATTTAATTGGAGGAGGAGATTTAGATGAACTCTCTCTGGTAAAATGCACTGGCGTAAACCTACGTATACACACACAGTGTTATGCATGAACTGTAAATATATATATATATATATAAATCATATTTGCAGCTGCAAAAAAAGATAATGGAAGACAATCAAGTCATTGTTCTCATGCTGAAAAAAATTACACAAAGACAACTTTAGAAATGGAGGAGTGTGCGTGGGGTAATGGATCAAGATTGGGCACTTTATTGTAAGATGCTGAGTAGTATAAAGGAAACAGGAGAATTTGCTAGATCCTAAAAAGTGGAACCTCTTGGAAGGCAGAACATCCAGCCCTATAACATTTTGTGGTGAAGTGAGATTGCCAGGGTTTTCTAAAATGGACACAGTTAATGTTGGATTCAGCCGCATTTATCTGTAAGCCAAGAGACCAGGCAGATGTCAATGATCCCAAATGCTCTGTCCTGAGTCTTTCAGACTTATTATAAGTTTGGATGTGAATTTTTTATGCAGATGTGTAGGTTACTGGATTAAATGTGAGCTAGACCTGCAGAACAAGTCTGCATCTCTCTGCCTCAGACTGTCAATAAAGCATGACCCATTTTAAATTGAAAATTAAACTGATACCTTGCTTAGCCCACTGGAGAGTGCAGATGGCAGAGCTGGATGGGAGCTTTATGCACCTGACTAAATGCTCCATTCATACTCTGAAAGGCCCTTAGAGCTGAGCATGCCAGAGAGTCTCCTAGGTGTGAATGTGTGTTAGATGGCTAATAAGAAGATGTCCAAGAGATTTTGGACATACAAGGTTAATGAATGCTGTTCAGCAATTCAGCCCATCAGATAAGCAGGATGAAATCTGTGCCTTGACATTCAAAGAACAAATCTGCCTTCTTAAAAACGTGGTTTAGGTCAGGAAAGTGACTTTTCTATTTTTTTAAGGCAGCTTTTTTCAGCCTATCTGAATGCTGTGTGTATCCTGCATCAGGGGTGTTTACTTTACAGAGATTTTACTACTTGTTACTCCTGTCAGCTGTGCTGGCTCTGCAGTCATGGGAGAGAGTGCTTGGCTCGGGTTTGGTTTGTGCATCACAGGCAGGATTGTAACTTCACCCTGATGCCTGAAATCTTTGGCAATGATGCAGGAGCCAGGAAAGAGCACAACCCAACTTTCACATCCCAGGCTGAGCCTTGCACTGCTGCCAGCTGAAGAAAATATGGACTTAGCCTTTTTTTTTTTTTCTTTCCCCAGAAAAATCCCATCAAAATTTGGAACTTGAAAAAAACTTGATCTGGAAACTTGCTAGAAGGCAATAAACATGAAAATTTATTCTGCATTTTTGCACTTTTCTTCTTTGCAGTATTCTGAGTGAGCAGCATTAGGCATAGAATTAGAATGGGGAATTAATTTTCAATTCTTTCCATAGCTGATGCTGCAAAGGGTTAGAGGTATCACAGTACCTGCATTGCTAAGTGACTCTTTGAGCTGTAGGAATTTCTCATTGCACCAATGTTCCCTAAGCAGGTATTGGAATACATTTGCTATGCATGTGTTTGCTCAGGCAGGAAGATGAGTGGAGAGCTGTTGGGCACAGAGCATCACTGTGCCTCTCATCCCATGTGTAACACAACCTCTGGGCACCCCACTGCATCAGCCCTTGTGGCCTTTATCCTCAGAAATCTCAAATTCAGCCCCAGGGAAGGCTCACTGTGTGCAGCAGTCTCAGGTTCTGCTCAATCCCAGCTCCCCAACAATGGCAGATCTGTTATTTGTATTATTTGGTCTTTTTTTCTTCTTTGTTGATACTCCTTGGATGCTTAAAGCAAAACCTTAAAGCAGAACCATGCAGCACTTAAAGCAGAACCATGCAGGGATGGTGCTTGGGGGGTTGGCACTGCTTGTTATTGTAAGTTAAAGCTTGTCCACATTTGTCTTTGTTTTTTTCCCTTCTGTTCTAGGGTTTACCTGGCCCCATAGGGGAATCTGGCCCAAAAGGCACTCGGGTAAGCAACCTTTCATTTGCCTTTTCTCTGCTTGTTTTTATCACAGACTTCTCAAGAAACTTTAGGCTTGATTTTGCAATTCTGAAGCTGGTTGCTTTAATTTTTTGGGTTTGGGGGATTTGAACTGTTAAGGTTTTTTTTTTAATTAAACATGGAATGTACCTTGATCAAAGTCCCCCAATAGTGCTGATGACAAAGTCAGCCCCTTCAGAGCTCACATTGCAGGGGAGGAAAGAATGGCTTACAATTTCCTATCAAAGCCTGCAAGCCCCATATCCCAAAGGCCTCTTTAGTTTCAATCAGTGTGGTTCAGCAGACTTGAACCACACTGAGTAGGGGCTCATTTGGGCACAGGCCTGGTTAGGGAGTGGTTTATATCATTATGAACAACAGCAAGCCAGCATCTTGAAGCCATGTGCAAATACAAACAATATCTCCGTCCTGTCTGGTTTTGCTCCCCAGAAATAATTGCTGGGGTTTTATTCTCACTGCAAAGGATTCTTTTTTTTATTACTACTTAAGGCTCTTGTTAATCACATTTTGTTCTTTTCCTGCAATTATAAATTCACAATGAGATCCTAAGCCAATAAATCCCCATTTCTCTAGCACGTGATACTTTCTCTATATGCAGTAAATTCAAGCAGCTGGCTTTCATCACTAGGAAAACTGCAAGGAATAAACAAATGCTGACCCTGTAGCTAGCAGTATTCCTGAGCTGGGAAGGGAGAGGGCACATTCAGTCCCTGCAGAAGAGGAAAATCTGAGACTCACCCCACTTCTGCAAGGGCTGAAGTTTTTCCCTGGGGCATCTCTTCACTGCCCTAACCAGGACCTTGTGTAATTATCAGGTGGTAGATGTGCAGAATGTAAAATCTGGAAGTTATTCTCTATTTTGTACCCCTGAGTGGTGAGGACTGAAATATTTATAAATAACCAAGGAAAGCCCTTTGTTAGTTCTACCACAGTAAATCCGAATTGAGTGCTAAGGTAAGAAGTGTGCATTTTGTGGTTCAAGGGAGCCAGTTCTGGACTCTTCTTCATCCTCCACCTCTACTTTTTCCTTCTCCAGGAAAAGTTCTGGAGTTATGTGGATTGTTTTAGGATTCAGGAGGCAAAGGCAGGCAGGATCATTTAAATGTAGCACTATTTCCCAGCTAGGTGTTGTCGCTAAAGGAAACACAACCCACAGGGAGTGATGGGCTGGTGAAAAGGTTTGGTGGGGTTGGCAGATAGAGATTTAGCAATGATGGAGAAAGAAAGATGAGAGAAAAGCAGTGTTAGCACTTGGCTCCTGTAACAGTGAGGTGCCACAGAGGGGGCTCCCTCCTGAAATTCACTTCCTCTGGATTTGGCATGCTTGGCACCAGAGGGGCCTTTGCAGAGGCCCAGCACACAAGGTGACTTTGTCCAGGCTGCTGAGCAAAGGAATTAAACACAAGGCTGCCATTGTGGCAAGGCAAGGGAAACACTGTGTTTTATGCAGCGTGTCTTGTCTCAGCAGGGCCCCAAGGCCACAGAGAAACCTGGAAACACAAGGTTTCTGAGGAGTGGGGAAGCAGCAGGTTTTATGTGAAATGTGCTGGTGCAAAGGTGGTTCTCCAATGGTGTGGGTGTGCAAGTTGAGCCTCACATCAACCCCCCAAGCTTGGAATGTCAGGTTCAGCCTCTCCCAGCCCATGCAGGGCCTTCAGTGCTTGGGATGATGAAAACCTTTGGACAAGGTCTTGTTGATGCAGGGACAGGCTTTGGGCAGACCAGGACTCACTGCAGGGTGGTGGCAGCCCTGGTGCCAGAAAAAGGGGGATTTGCCTCAGAATGGCCTGCACTGTGTGACCACCAGGTGACACAAGACAGACAGAAAGGGCTTGCTGCAACAGGACAGCTGGAAATGAGTGCCAAAAGCAAAGAAAGAGACAAAAGGAGGTGTAGGTCTGTGGATTACTTTTGCTAACCTCGAACTAAGCTCCATTTCCCTCAGGTACACTTAGAGCCAGCCCAGGTAAGGTTTCTTCTGGCTGTCTTCTTGCTGTCTGGAGTCCTCCTGATCCCTGGTGTGAGGGTATGTGCCCTTGGACTACATCGTGGAAGCCAGCACCATGCAGTCCATGGGCATATACACTTGCCTCAAGGTTTATTTCATCACGGCTGCCACTGACCAGCGCTGGAGGCTGCTCTGCTCTTCAGGAAGCACAGACTGACTGCTGCTAATGGAGAAATGTGTTTGACTGCTTGTTTCCTCTTTTCTTTAGGGCTATATTGGTCTCCCAGGATTATTTGGGCTACCAGGAGCTGATGGAGAACGAG